GGGAGACGGAGAAAAGGCACCATGGTGGCGGCGATTTGCTTACACAGACACACAACTACTGCGGCAATAAAAAGTTGGCATCACAACAATATCACCAACAATTAGAGCAAAAACGCCAAACAGCGCCAAACCATTGGCAGTAATTTGAGCTGCAGCGCTGCTGACTTTATTGCCGACTAATATTGTAGATTCTGCCACAGTCAACTTCGCTTTGGAATGTGCTGCTAGCGCTGGCATAACGTTGTTGCTATTGGCCATGAGATGCCGCTCTACTGTGTGCCTCTCTTTGCACTATGTATGCATGTATGTATGTCTCTTTTCAAGACATCCACTCCATATACGCGCGCTCCCACCAACTGTTGCTCGCTTCTCAATGGCTCATCGAAATTCCGGTTTTTGTTGTTGTCGTCGTCGATCTGGTCGCTGTGTTGATATTTGCTCCGCTCACTGGTTGGATCGTCTACTGGTTTTCTAGTTTTTTTTTTTTATTTTTGGCTTTTTTTCTTTTGGTATTGTTTATGCCACCTCAGCCGTCAACATCGCTCTGGGGCTCTTCTTGGCTTCACATTTTGCTGTACCTTCTTACTTGGGGGTTTCAGTGATTTCAGCTCTGTTCAACGTTGACAGCTCCAAACAAATATGTATTGCCAACGAACAACAATAAAAATTACAACAACAAAGAATACAAAGAAGACAAAAAAACTTGAATGACTACTCGTCGCTCACAACCGCAACGCTGTGCTCGAGTGCTTGAGCTGTAGCTATTGAGTTGAGCTGTGATTGCGACTCTGTGCTCCAACGAGTGAAGTGAAGTGGCGGCAAAAGAGGGGAGTAGAAATAAAACCAAAAAATCTACCATTCGATGTGAATGTGATTTTTCAATTGTTCGTGGGTGCGGAGCTCAAGCCGTGGCGTGAGAGGAGCAAAGGCAGTGAGAAACTCAATTGTAAGTCACAAGCGAGTGACAGACGACGCTCGGTTGAAGGAAACAAATAAGAAGGAAGCAGTAAAGTACCGATGGCTGTGACAGACGTAGGCAGTACAATAATAAATAAGCCAAAGAAACCGGCGACTGGGACAATAAAATTAAAGCAACATAATACATACATACCTAAATAATTGCGTGTATATCAAATACCAACTATGGGAAATGAAACCACCGCAAAAGCGAATTGTGAAAAATAAAGAAATTAACCAAAGCAACATAAGCTTCTAAGTACAATGGACATTATTCTACAACAAAACCGACAACCGCTAAGCTGCTCAGTGTAAAGGGGAAACAAACCACGAACTTCCTTCCTCGCTTTGATTGCTAAACTAATTGTTGAATTTTTTATTTTCTCCTTATTTTTGTAATGGGGTTAGCGTGAGGTCTTTTTTGATTTCTTTTACTATGACTCATTGGGGAAGCTGGAGTTGCAGCCACGTCTACAACAAACTGATCTTACGTAGAAAAATTACCATTACAAATAATTGCATATTTCCTTCGCATTCCATCCCAAGGCATTCCACTAGACATGTTTGCTTACAGCGCACTGTTTCCAATTAAGATGTTTCGAGAAAGAACAGCGACATACTCTCCTCTGCCGATCTCCGTCCGGTTAGGTTAGGTAAGGAGGCAACGTGATGACTAAAATATGGTAGAACGGAGTAACCACCTCATTAATTGACCTCTCATTCTCCTCAATATTGTTGTGCCCGAGGACCCAGCATAGAGTGAAGTTGATATGGCTGAGTGTTGTCAACGTGGCACATTTTCATTCAATTCTCGTTTTTAGTAATTTAGAGCCTAGTGCTTTCAAAGTTGCTTGACTGTCGACAAGTAAGTAAGATTAGCCACCCTCTCAATAGCGTAGATCTCTGCTTCGAAGGCACTACAATCGTTCGGCAGACGAAATGACTGTTTGATCTGCAGGTCCTCCGAGTAGAGCTCGGCTTCATTTCCTTGCTCCATCAGTGTAGATGGATAGTCCTATATGCCATCCTTATCTGGTCTGCAACCGAATAGGTACCTTGGTAGTTGAGTCCATTTAGCCGGTCCCTTTTTATTTCACTCAGTATTGCTACAAACCGAAATTGGTTGGCTTCCACGTATTGGTTCCCCTGAGTTTTAGGGCACTCTTTGCAGCCGTACCATGGATGAAACTATGCAGCGGTTACAGACGAAATATTATATTGAGCCCTTTCCGGGGGTGCGCTACTGACTGCTGCCGATATGCCGAGGAAGCTTAATCGAATCGAGTTTGAACACTAATTTTTACGATTTACAAAATAACTAAGTGCGCCCAAATTTTTTTGAATTCCTAATGAACCCGCCATGTTTCCATGTCTCGTCTTCTTTTCCTAACCAAGTTCTCGCTCCTCTTCGGTTAAGATATCGGTGGATGTTAGATGTACCATAAACTTAAGGTTTTACCTTCTTATCTAAGTTGGCAAATGCTGCACTGACGGTCTTGGTGCTGCATTGGACCTTTTCTGCTGGTTCTGATGCGATAAGATTGGCAGCTCGCACTACGTTTTTTTTTTTTTTTTAATAAGATTAAGAGAGTCGGTGTGTTGTCTAGTCTGAAACCGAGTTTGTTTTCGAAAGACTAGATAGAGGTCCCTCGCAAATTGAACGGAGTTAAAAGTTTTGCTCAACGTCTTTTTGTCCGAAGCGGGTTTAAAACTATAGAAAAAGCCGGTGTATGCCCATTGATGATTGGCGCAAACGGCGGGATCTCATATTTCGGGTGAAACCAGTTTCCGATTTTCATCTCCATCTCTGCATTACTTCATCGCTGTATTATTTTATGATAACATTCTCCCAACGATGTTCTGATTGTCAGCTTATCGAGCTCCGAATACGTTGAATTTCCATCCTTTTCTCCTGGTATTCTCTCCATTGCAGAGAAAATTCTCGAAAGAGATAAGTGTCCGCCTCCAACAGCCCATCTGGACTTTTTTGTCGCCAAGCATGATATTTACAAAATGCATTCTAAGGAGCTCATCGAGGCGGTTTTTGGTTTTGATATCCTGCCGTTCCGTCGTGTCCCGCCAACAAATCAGTCGATTGCTTTCAAACTTATCTTTTATCTGGTCTAGCAAACCTACATATGTATGTATGTATGTATATCAAACGAATCGTCCTACTAATGGCTTCTTCTTGATGGACAGTTACAGCGCAAAGCAATTTTAGCCAAGTTTGGAGTTCTCGTCCGAGACATTGACTTACTTCTCATTGGGAGGGGTTCCAAACACAGTGCTGCACAAAATACTCCTTTGAAAGAACTAAGATCTAGTACTAACAAGAGGGGGCTTAGCGAATTTTCTTCCTGAAAGAACATTAACCTAAAACAGCTTAGACTTGACACTTAAGCAGGGATCACACGATTTGTACATTTGTACATTCACATTTACTTTGTAAGGCATGCCTTTAAATCTACTCATCCAAGCTGCTTCACGATATGCCTAGAATACCTACTCTATCACTTCCTGTAGCGCTCTACGTCGATCATACTCCCTCTCCCTCTCTCTCCAGCTGATCTTGAAGCGGGGGTGGATACCATATGTACATACATACTACGTAAGTGCTGTCAGATTTTTTGTGTTATTTCTTGCATTGATTTACGCCTACTCCGGAGTACAATAAAAATGAAGAGAGGAATATTACTAAAAAAAAATAGGTGCAAGGGGGAATAAAAGAAAAATACCGATCCCGTCAATTCGATGTCTGAGTGCGCTGTGGGTGCCTAGTACGCACATATCCAAATACATATGTACACACATACATACATATGAATATAGTTACATATGTACGCGCATTTGAATGGGCATAAAATAAACAAACAAATATCAAGCGTCAGTCAAGCAATTGAGCCGAACGTGAGCACAAAACTCTGAATTGGGACTGCGTTTCATGGTTGTTTGTGATTTTCCAATGATCGTGCTGATCGGAGTCGGACAGTTGCCTAGCAGGCCAAAAACAGAGTTGTTGCGTTGCTCGTTGAAATCTTCGTTTAGCTGAAGATGTTGAAATAATAAGTGGTTTTTATTCGAAATTTAACGCCAAGTGAGAAAAGAGAAAATGTACATACATATATACATAATTAAATTAAATAAAGAAGTGAAAAAAAAAATCCAAACTAATAATCTACCATACATTTTGTGCTTTAGTCAGGCGGATGCTGCCGCGGTAACACAAATTCCTCACTTTAATAATAATTATTAACACAAATTTTGAATGTTAAACGCAATGACCGGTTTTCTACGCCGCATATGCTATTCGTATGAAAGAAATGTGTGGTGAAAAGAAATACAAATATTTTTTTTTTATAGGTATTTTCTTTCTTGCAGTTTGTCGTGGTTTTTAGTAGCAGCTAGACGACTTAGAGATCTTGAAACGCGTACGTATGTATGTACGTACATAAATAAAAAACTAGAATAAACGCAATTTAAGTAGAATCGCCACTAAGCAAAGACCGCAATATTTACAAAGTATGACAAATGGAGTAAACTTAGTGAAGAGAGTGTAAAAAAGAAAAACAACTGCCTATTAGCTATAAAAAGTTGAAGGAGAAGTAAGTGAACGGTGGGCAGAGCAGCGAAAATTAACTAGCAAACATGAAGTGAGTTAAGAAATTAATAAAAAGTGGTTGAAAATGTAAATTACATGAATAGATCAATAAAAAAAGTTCACAAATTAAACGAACAATATTTTTTTTTTTATGTGTGCAATAAAATTGTTGAAATCCCATTATTTACCAACTATAATATAATAAAAAAATGTATATATAAAAAAGCGTTTGACAAAAAAATAACCCAAATATGGAAAAAATTTAAAAATAAAAAATCTAATTTGCAAACCCTAAGTAATTAAAACTCAAAGAGATAAAAGTTAACAAAAAAAATTTAGCTGAAAAAATAGAAAAACTGAGAAATATAAGAAACAAGCGTGTGAAAAATTAATATAAAAATTTAGCATACAAATTTCAAACAAAATATGCAAACAAATTTTTTTATATTTTTAAAATTTCACAAAAACAAATAACAAAAATAAAAATCAAGGAGTTACAAGTTACAAGTTAACAAATATATTTAACTAAAAAAGATGTAATGAAATAAAGTTTGTGAAAAACAGACAACACAACAACAACATAAGCAAAATAAGAGGCGTGGGAAAAAATTAAAAAAAAAATATTTTTATAAATTTAAAAACAAAACTGAATTTAAATGAATATGCATCCAAACTGAAGTATTGCATAAAACTTAGCACACGCGCCCCGCAAAAGTGACTTTCATGCATTACGCTGCCGCATAGCGTTGCCGCAACTGACTTGCCAACAGCAACTTGTCTAGGCAACAAATCAATTCAACGATTCGGCAATTCAGCAGTGCAACAATTTATGGTAAAAACAACAACAACAACAATAACCCATAAAGATCGAAAAACCTCGTCAGCAATCCATCAACTCAGTAATTTTTCATTTCACTCAGCAATTCAACAGTCGAGTGCAGCAGCTAGCCATCAACCAACCAACCAACCGATCCATTCCTAACATCAACATAGTGTGACCAATAGTGCGACCGACCTACCGCACTCGCGCCCGCACACACACGCACACACATACATATATGTACTCCTAATATTGGAACCAGCAAGCAAAACGAACAAACATTATTTTCAACATTGCAGAGAGCAGCTAGCTAGTAGTATTTGGCAATCATTGAACCTGCAACCGGCGCGCGCATCAACTGAGGTCAGTAACATCAACTGTGTACAAGTCACGTTTGTTTACTTCATAAAATACATACATATGAACATAGATATCTAGCTATACTAACATATGAATAGAGCTATGCCTATAAAAGTTGTTGGCTGAAAACCATAGTTGGACAATAGCTTTGAATTTTTGCATCCACACCCACAAATCAGTTGAGCTATAAATACGTACGTATGTATGTAGCTACACAAATACTCATAAGTGGATATCCATATGCGCTTAATATCGCTGCTGCTACTTTCTGCCTTTGTGCATCCAACGGCAGGCCGGCTACGCGTCGCCAACTAAGCCGCTCAGTTTGAAGCTGCTATTTTTTGCTGACTATTTTTAATGCCATTTTCATTTCATTTATTTTTTTTATTATTTAATTCTTTATTTGTGCGCTGATTTAAAATTTCGCTTTCAATACGAATTCCAATTTCAAAATATCAACGACAGCGACCAGCGTAGCAATCCCATTTCTGGTTCAACGCTTACTTCATTTGAGCTGCGCCCGCCATATTTGTATGTACGAGGCGTTTTGTTGCATTACTTTGACTCACTTTATTCGCGATTTTTTCGCAATTTTTATTTAACGTAAAATTTTTTTTTGGCTATGCTTTTATTACATATGTTTGTATGTATGTATGTATGTACATATTTGTTTTCGTTAGTTCATTTCAGCATATGTGCCCTTTATTTTCATTTCCAATTTGCGTTTGTACATTTAGGTGTATGTATGTATGTGTGTTTGCATTTATGGATTTTTGTACGTTTACGCCCCAACTCGCTTTGATTTGGCGCACCGCTCCAGCGTGCATCGCGAATCGCATCTCATGGGACAGCGCGTGGTTCAATAGCGCATAGATATGTATGTATATATGGCAACGTGATTGCCGCATATGCCACTGCCACAAACCGTTTCGGTTCAATATGTCGCGCACTGTTGGGACCAATGAAGCATGTGGGAGCTGCTTGTGTACAGTGTGCGGTGATTGCTTATGACTTCATTTAAGTAATTGTAATTAATTACACATCTTAATACATATATATTTACTTCCATTCGATCTTTAAAGTCAGGTCAGTTATCAGGTATAGCAAGTCGAAAACTTTGGTTAAGTCAGTTAGGAAGTTTTTTTTGAATGCAAGAACCCACTTTAGCACCCATTAACTGTTTAGCAGCAAATTTCAGCTTTCGGGGTCTTCTGAGAGCTACTTAAGATACAATTAGCGCATTTTGACACCATTTAGACACACTTCCCGTTAGTATCGACTAATGCTTGGCATCGACTATTTTTGACTTGGATGAATTTTGGTCAGCTTGGCTTTTCATTTATTATGTAACGAATTTGTGCCAAAGAAATTTAATTTTATTTTTCGAAAGTTATGCAAAATTCTAAATTTCACAATTTCCGCGATTTTAAAAGTTCAATTTTTGAATATCTCAAAAAATAATATATATATAACTATAGTTACTAAACTGGGTTTGGTATCGTTCTATAGTTTATATTTAGCGATATAAAAAAAATATGTAAAACAGTATAAAAAATTAAAAATTACAGAATTTTGAAATTTAAAAAAATCGTAAAAGCAAAAACTTATAAAAATTGTTGGCATTTTTTTTTTCTTCTATACCTCCAACTGATCTTGAAAGATCCTCAAATTTTCAGTGTTGGCCAGCGAAAGCTTTTATTTTGTGACAGCCGTATTCAAATTGTACAGAAAGCTTTAAAAAAGCTTTGGCACATTGTTTTAAATAAATGAATTTTAGAACTTTGATTTTTTTCCCAAAATCTAAATAAAGTTAGGTCAAAGAATTTATCTTATTTATTTAAATTTATTTTTAATTTAGAGTTTACAATAATACATATATTTTTTTCAACTTAGAATTTTAGGAATTTTAAGATAAGTGAGAGGTATTTAGAAAAAAATTTGCCAAAAATGTATGTATGCAAGTTGTTGCTTTTACTAGTTTTTAAATTTCACAATAAAGTTTTATCTTATTTTTAATTTTTATGAATATATTATTTGAATTGGTTATTTACCAAAGGGAATAAGTCAGTACTTTTTCCGATATGACCATTTCATTTGGTAACTAACCGAATCATATTCCAGAACCATTCTGGAACTACTATAATCGCTTTCGAGATACTCAACAAAAACTTTCAATATTCAGAAAATTATGAAATTTTGAGCTTTCAGAAATATTAAAAAAAAAATTTTTCCATTGGCAGAACTTCGTTATATGACAGAAGGAAAATATATTCAAATCCAAAATGGTCGATTTAACAAGGATTGTGTATGTATGCCTATGCAAATCCTACTTTCATTCATTCTCTGATAAATTTACCGTCTTGTTTAAAGTAGCTTCTGAAAGATCCACCAGTTGTTCAACTATGTGTATTTTAAATTTTTGTTTACCCAATAACAAGGACTGGACATTCACCCAGCAAATCCTGATTACTATACGCTATCTTTAACCTGACAGCTGTGACAAGTTCTATTATACTTACGACCCATTCTTGCCACATTGCTTAACTAGGGGCCAAAGTCCCGTGTTGGTTGCTACTATTCGGAGTGCTTCTCTGCTTGGTGTTAGGCCAGAATTCCCTTAACATCTTACAAGCCAGTATAACTATTTTCATTTGTATGGGTCGACACCTCTTTCAGTGCATTTTTTTCCTTTATGATCATGATACTAAAGCTATATTCTTTCGGCTGAATAAAATTCTCGATGGAAATTAGTTGGAATATTTAGATTCCAATCATGAATCTTTTTATAGATGCTAAGTAAACTTGTCTTTCGTCTATAATAACCATTGCCATTTATGCTACAAATCAAATACTTTCAGATGCATTTAATTACTTTTCTTCGAAGTGAACATATATTTCTAAAACTCATCAAATCACCGATTTTTGAACACCGTGCAACTGCGTCATCACTTAACTTTATGTGCGCCTACAAAAAGTGCGCTTATAGTTAAGCGTTTCACTTCGCTATAGTGCGCAAATATTGAGCGTGGGGCGTTGCACGCCAAAAAGAAATACCAATAAAAAGGCAATGAAGGCAAAAATTAACTTATGGAAAATAGGACTAAAAAAATAACTGCATATACATACGTATAGGCGTAGACATGAATTTCATATAAATTTTAATTTCAATTTGTATTTGCGTTTCTTCGTATACGCATTTGTGCAAATATATTGGAGCCTTGCAGGAAAATTTTCGCTTAAATTTTTAAACTCGGTGCTTACTATTTTAAATGTTTCTGCATCTTCATTGAATGCAGATAGATAAATTTGGTTAGTTTTTATTAGTGCAGTTATACAGAATACTGAATTAAAATTTTATTTTGCCATTCATAAAAAGCAAAGTAGAAGTTGTTGAGAAGAACCCGGAAACATAGAATATCATTTTTTATCAATGTCTAAAGAAACTTTCTAGTGATCCCAAAAATTCAACAAAATCTGGAAAAATCACGAAATAAGTTCCAAAAACGTCCCGAAAGTTACCGCAAAATATAACATCAATAAAACTGAATAATCCGAAAAACAGATAGTAAAACTTGAAGAAAAATACCGAAAGAGATTGCGAAATGTGCCGAAAGATACTCAAAAATTAAAAACCACGAATACCGAGTATCCGGAGAAAAACCAAAAAGTAAAACCTGAAGAAAAAATCCCTGGTAAATCCATAAAAGTTTCGAAAATTATGAAAATCACTAAATATTCCATTTTGTTATTCAATGCCTAAAGCAATCTCAAATTCCGAAAATCCCACACACATACCAAGGAAGACCAGGAATGCTGCATAATCTCGAGAAAGTCCGAAAAGTAAAACCAGGAGAATTCCAAAAACAGCAGGAAAAAATCCCAAGAAAATATCGAAAAGTCTCGAAAAACCCCGAAAAATGGTATCTCCAAAAAATTCGTTTGCTTTATCTTTTTCATTTTAAAATCAAAAAATTATTTAATTTTTTGCTACACTCTAACAAGTTTTTCCCTACAGGGCACTGCACCGGCATGTGCCACTGTTTATAGAGTGCATACAAGCACATGTGCACCCTATGTTTACCTACAAGTACAAACAACTGTATTTTTTTGTTTACTTACAAATATTCATTCACTGTAAGTGCATTTGAGCATACGTGTACATGGACATTTATATGTTTATGTATATACATACGTTCGTACATATGTATGTATGTATGTACTATATAACGATGTATTTATGTATACATATTTGCCCTCTGTATGTTGCATTTTTAATTGCTGACTCACCGTGGCATCCGCCTACTGTACCTACATACATACATGGCCGCCAGATAGTTATCTTTGGTTGTGTGAGTGTGGTGCCTAGGTGCCTGCACGCAAGGATCCTGTTGGCACCACTCCCATTTGAGTTCTTGTTTTTATACTCTCTTAAATATAAAAAAAAATTGTCATGCTTTTCCTGCCCCACGCTCTTCTTCACATACATGTGCACTTATGCATACGAAATTGAAATGTCATGCCAGTTATAAAGGTTTTACTAAATTTTCCCAAATGGAATTGGCAAAATTTTGTTTGTAAAATTTTAATTGCGACTCAATTTATAGTAGTTGCATCGTAAATATTGAGCGCTTCACATTCGATTGCATGTGCATACATTCATACGTACATATATACATATGTATGTACATACAAATATATAATGTATGCATGTGTGAATATTTGTAAGCACGAGCACATACATTTGTAGTTATTTACTTATGCAAGTATACAAATATATCAATAATTTAGGTCTCTGTGGATTCTTGCAAATTGTAATATTTCTCTCTGCATTTAGTAAATTTATGCACAGATCTTTGGGGATATGTTAGCGCAAACGTAAATTCATTTAAACATTTAGATAATAGTCAAATCTGCATTTGTAATTATAATGTAAATATTTACATATTTCAGTTTATTGACCATAATTCATGTCCTTAAATAATTTGTGGGTTGGGCAGAAGAAT